AAGCCCTGGGAAATGAGTTTAGTCCAGGTGTGCACCAGTGGGGTCCAAAAGGTTTCATGACCACGTGCGCTGACATGCTGCAATACCACAGTTACGCCTGTGGGGGTGTACCCGGAAAGAGAATTATCCAATGCTTTTGAATGAAAACGTTTTTACAGGATGGTCCAAAAATTGCTCTTGGTCCAACATTCCAGATGTGCTGAGTTTTCTTTTTTGGACCAGTCTAGTTTAGCCGCTTTGGACTTTTGAAGGCACTGGTCAAATGAATGGGGCTCATGCCGGCTTTTCCACATTTTCCTAACCCGCGGCCATATTGAAAAAGCCCCATAGAAGGCAAACGTGACGGCACATCAGTTTCAACAGTGGAGATAGGTGTGACTATGTCCAGTAATATTTACAGTGGATGGTTGTATCACATGTGTGTGTCCGTGTGCAGTTGTGGGGAAAGGCATGTTCTGTAGTCTTCACACGAGCAGGTGAGAGAGGGGAGATTTCCTTCAGATTCTACAATATTCGAGATTCAGATTCATTCATATTCAAACTTCTTTATGCCACTGATGCAAACACAACACAGAAGGAGGATATTCAATCTAATGTATACGTTCATTAAAATGCATGCCCTGAGGAAAAACCAGCAGAAAGAAGTCAGATTTTGTCTTATTGAACTCTTATGACTAAAACATCACAGTAAGAAAATAAATATATGTCCAATGAGACAAATTAAATGTACAGAGGATAAATATATATGAAAAACCCATAATATATTATTTTATCGGTTCTTGAACATTCCATTCAATTTGACTGACCCTTAGTTACATTAATTCCACTGCTTCACAAGTTACATTTAAAGCTGGGGTACCTAACTTTCAAACCACAAAAAAGTAGAGATATTTCAGCTCCTTCCACACACACTTCTGTCCAAATATTCAGATTTCAAACTCGTTACACTGCGGTCTGGACAGAGGTGATTCGTGCATTTTTAAAACCGGGCCCAGATATGTTTAGGGATATTCTCTGAGTAATCTCTCTGAATTCTTTTTATTGCCTTTGTAGGGAACAGTAAAACAGTTTTAAAAGTAAAAAAAGTGACGGTCATAAACGCAGGCGACAGAGATTAGTGATTATTATCAGTCTGGTGCACACTGGGTAGTCTTGCACAGTTATTCCAATGAGGTTTTACTGCAAATGGCAAATAAATTCTTGTATCTTGTATCTATCAAAGTAGAAAGTACATATAATGATACAGATTACACTGATCGTTATCTGTTCTATTCATGTTTACTCACAAAATGACTCTATTTCACAATCAAAAAGACAAAATGTCACGTTCGAGAACCAAAAATAAACAGTAAGAGCGTTTCATATTTGTTCCTAACTACAGAAACTAAGCCTAACTCTGCTTTGATCCTAAGATCCCAGTCCATGATGCAAGACTGGACTACAGAGACCAGGAGGAGGAGGGGGCTGGGACTGCGGGACTGAATCTAACACCAGTGCGGGACCCCAGGGAGCGGCCGGAGAACAGCTCTGAGTCATTATGTCATCATGTTTGTGTCAAGGGCAAGTCACAACAACAGCTCTGGAGGAAAGAGCGTCGGGGAAGCACACGGCGACTGATTTAAACGTTTGTGATCTCGACGAATCTAGGAATCAGCAGGTGGCGTGTAAAAAGTGTCTCGTTGGACCAAAGAACCAGTTGGAGCACACATCACTGCATTTCCTGTGTTTACGTTTGATTCTCTGATCTGTGTTGGCGAATCGACAGCTTTGCAAAGTCCTTTGAGATAACCTCGATTTAGGGCTACACTAAAATACATTGAATTGAATTGAGTTTATCTTTACAACACACACACACACACACGGATAAAAGTCAGCCAAAGCCAGAGAAATTATTTTGAGGCTAAATTATTGACAAAAATGATAATATTTCTTAATTCCAGATCTGGCAACCACTCTTAAGATTCCTACAATCCACATCTGTATGAATATTTATTTTTTATTTTTATGTTTGTAAGTTTTATTATATATAAAATTGCTTGAGCTTCAATTATTATGTTAAATATATGTGCTGTATGAGTCTGTAAAAACCGTTTGACTAAATTATTGACAAAAATGTAAACAATAACTTGGATTTATAGATTATTTTATTTATTTTTTTAAACAGATTTGTGTCCTTCTTTTGCGTTCATAAAACATGTGCTGTTGGAGTGGTCTGGTCTGGTCTGGTCTGGTCTGGTCTCGGTTCCTGGCCGTAATCCCGCGTGTGTATGGGTGTCATGTCCTGCTGAGACCCCCCTGGACCATGTCATCTCTGTCGCCACGGAAACAGAGCCAGCAGGGATAGCGCCACGGCAACAGGAGGTCAGCATCAATGCTCCGGTTCAGGGCCCAAGATCCTTTCTTCATGCTCACACTAACAATTACAACATCAGAGACAGAGGTCGCTTTGGCTCGTTACGGTCTCCACAAACCAACAATCTCTTTCTCCTCTGTCTCCTTCTACTCCTCTCGCCTTTTTCTCCTCCTCTCTTCTTTCTCCTCTGTCTCTCCTCTTTCTCCTCCTCTGTCTCCTCTTCTCTTCCTCTCTCCTCTCCTCCTCTCTTCTGTCTGGTCTCCTTCTCATCCTCTTCTCTCCTCTGTCTCCATCCTCTACCATCTGTCTCCTCTCCTCCTCTGTCTCCTCTCCTTCTCCTCTTCTAACCTCCGCCTCCTCATTTCTTTCTCCTTCTCGTCCTCTCTCCTATGTCTTATCTCTCCTTCTTTCTCTCTCCTCTGTCTCCTCTTTCTCTCCCCTCTCCTCTCCTCCTCTCTCTTCTGTCTCGTCTCCTCTCCTCCTCATCTCTTTCTCCTACTCTCTCCTATGTCTTATCTCTCCTTCTCTTCCTCTCTCCTCTGTCTCCTCCTCTATCCTCTGCCTCCTCTTCTCTCCTACGTCTCCTCTCGTCCCGCCCCCCTCGCTCCTCTTCTTTCTCCATTTTCTCTCCTCTGTCTCCTCTCCTTCTCCTCTATCTTCTGCCTCCTCCTCTCTCCTATGTCTCCTCTCTCCTTCTCCCCCTCTCTACTCTGTCCCTCCACTTTCTCCTTCTCCATTTTCTCTCCTCTGTCTCGCCTCCTTCTCCTCCTCTATCATTTGCCTCCATCTCTCTCCTCTTTCCCCTCTTCTTTCTACTGTCTCCTCTCCATCCCCTTCTCTCTCTTCTATCTCCTCCTCTCTCCTCAGTCTCCTCCTTCTCCTCCTCTCCTTCCCCACCTCTCTCTTCTATCTCCTCCTCGCTCCCCTCTTTCCCTGTCTCTCCTCAGTCTCCTCCTTCACCTCCTCTCTCTTCTATCTCATCCTCTCTCCTCTGCTTCTTCTCCTCTCTCCTCTCCTTCCCCTCCACACTCTTCTATCTCCTCCTCTCTCATCCATCTCATCCTTCTCCTCGGTCTCCTCCTCTCTCATCCATCTCCTCCTCTCTGCTGGGTTCTGAACCTCTCCTCTCATGAATATTCCTCCCACATCTCCGTCTCTTCACCTCCCTGACTGTGGCGTGCTTTAAACTGTCAAAATGTCCGCCGCTTCTCCCCAAAAGCCGGAGGAGAACTCTCTCTCCTCGGAGTTTGACAATTACCGTTATCTGTGCTCAGATAAAGTAACGGGCGCCAGGCAGAAGTGGACGTTTTAATTAGATTTTAATTATCTGTTCCATGAGGGAGACGGACAATGGACCCGCACGGTTAATAAAACGTCTCCGGTGATACTGTGTAAGTTTGTGTGTGTGTAAGTGTGTGTCGGTGTGTATGCGTAAGTGTGTGTCGGTGTGTATGTGTAAGTGTGTGTCGGTGTGTGTGCGTGCGTGTGCGTGCGTGTGAATCTGCGTGTGTGAGTGTGTCTGTGCGCATGTGTGTCTGTGTAAGTGTGTGTGTCTGTGTGCTAGTATATCTGTGTGTCTGTGTAAGTGTGTGTGCGTGTGTCTGTGTAAGTGTGTATATATGTGTGTGTGACTGTGCGCGTGTGTGTCTGTGTAAGTGTGTGCTCGTGTCAGTGTACTTGTGTGTCTGTGTGCTAGTATATCTGTGTGACTGTGTAAGTGTGTGTGTCTGTGTAAGTGTGTGTGTTGGTGTAAGGGTGTATATATGTGTGTGTGACTGTGCGCGTGTGTGTCTGTGTAAGTGTGTGTGTCTGTGTAAGTGTGTGTGTCGTTGTAAGTGTGTATGTATGTGTGTGTGACTGTGCGCGTGTGTGTCTGTGTAAGTGTGTGCTCGTGTCAGTGTGCGTGTGTGTCTGTGTGCTTCTATATCTGTGTGTGCGCTTGTGTGTGTGTTAGTGTGGGTGTGTGTCTACTGTGGGCAGTTGAAGCTACTTGTTAAAGCTGGGTTATCTGATTATAAAACTTTGAAAGTGAATATTACTCTACCGATTCAATGATGTGCAGAAAATATCGCAATACAACACAACTTATTCTTGTACAGCCCTGAATCACAACAGCACCATCTCAGAGACTTAACAAAACCATTGAATCACCAACACAGATCAGAGAATCAACAGTTAAAATGTCCATACATGTTGTAGAATGTTAAAGTGTTTCTGTTGGACACCAACTGCCCAACAGACCCTCCTGCATCGGCAAGGAACAACTTATAACCCAGAGGGAAAAAGTGAGAAACCTCGGGGAGTCCCATGGTTTGAGAAAGGGATCCACTCCCACGGACGGACAGGCTCTAGATCCAGGACCTAAGCTACAGAACGTGGACCACGATCAACGGCCGCGATACTGAACAGAAGCCCAATATTTTCCCCAATCGCCGTGACCATAAGCAGCACCAGAGTGGATGCTTTGGTCATTTGTCACAGCCTGAAGACCGCTTTATCAAACAGAACATGGACAACCACCCTCGAACAACCAATCAGCTTTCAGCCCCAAAGGTCAGACAGTGACCAACACTCTCTAAATATAGCCGTAATCACACGAAGAGGATATTACACACAGGTGGAATCATCACGGCGAGATGTGGGCGAGATGTGGACGAGATGTGGGCGAGATGTGGGCGAGATGTGGGCGAGATGTGGGCGAGATGTGGACGAGATGTGGGCAAGATGTGGGCGAGATGTGGACGAGATGTGGGCGAGATGTTGGCCAGATGTGGACGAGATGTGGGCGAGATGTGGGCGAGACGTGGCCGAGATGTGGGCGAGATGTGGGCGAGATGTGGACGAGATGTGGACGAGATGTGGGCGAGATGTGGACGAGATGTTGGCCAGATGTGGGCGAGATGTGGACGAGATGTGGGCGAGATGTGGGCGAGATGTGGGCGAGATGTGGACGAGATGTGGGCGAGATGTGGGCGAGATGTGGGCGAGATGTGGGCGAGATGTGGACGAGATGTGGGCGAGATGTGGGCGAGATGTGGACGAGATGTGGGCAAGATGTGGGCGAGATGTGGACGAGATGTGGGCGAGATGTGGGCGAGATGTGGGCGAGATGTGGACGAGATGTGGACGAGATGTGGGCGAGATGTGGGCGAGATGTGGGCGAGATGTGGGCGAGATGTGGGCGAGATGTGGGCGAGATGTGGACAAGATGTGGGCGAGATGTGGGCAAGATGTGGGCGAGATGTGGACGAGATGTGGGCGAGATGTGGGCGAGATGTGGACGAGATGTGGGCGAGATGTGGGCGAGATGTGGGCGAGATGTGGGCGAGATGTGGGCGAGATGTGGACAAGATGTGGGCGAGATGTGGGCAAGATGTGGGCGAGATGTGGACGAGATGTGGGCGAGATGTGGGCGAGATGTGGCGAGACGAGATGTGGACGAGATGTGGACGAGATGTGGGTGAGAGATGTGGGTGAGATGTGGGCCAGATGTGGGCGAGATGTGGGTGAGATGTGGGTGAGATGTGGGCCAGATGTGGACGAGATGTGGACGAGATGTGGACGAGATGTGGGTGAGATGTGGGTGAGATGTGGGCCAGATGTGGGCGAGATGTGGGTGAGATGTGGGTGAGATGTGGGCCAGATGTGGACGAGATGTGGGCAAGATGTGGGCGAGATGTGGACGAGATGTGGGCGAGATGTGGACGAGATGTGGGCGAGATGTGGACGAGATGTGGGCAAGATGTGGGCGAGATGTGGACGAGATGTGGGCGAGATGTGGGCGAGATGTGGGCGAGATGTGGACGAGATGTGGACGAGATGTGGGCGAGATGTGGGCGAGATGTGGGCGAGATGTGGACGAGATGTGGGCGAGATGTGGACGAGATGTGGACGAGATGTGGGTGAGATGTGGGTGAGATGTGGGCCAGATGTGGACGAGATGTGGGCGAGATGTGGGCCAGATGTGGACGAGATATGGGCGAGATGTGGGCGAGACCTTTACGAAGGCTTTGCATGAGAAAGATTATGTTTGAATGCATTGTTTGGAAAAAAGAAAAGATTACGAAGATATCCTTTTTCCTTTACTTCACTGCTGTCTGTCACATTGTTGCGCTCCTCCTGGGAAAACAAAAAATATCTAAAATAAATCAGACGTAACCGGACTTAATGTGTAAGAGTACTTTTGCAAGTCTTTGATAGAATCTACACTCTCTCCTCTCTCTCCACCTCTTTCTTCTCTCTCTCAGCCCTCTCTCTCTTGCCTACTCTTTCCTCTCTCCCCTTTCTCTTGCGTCCTCTCTCTCATCTGTCCCCCTGTCTCCTTTTTCCTTTCTCTCCTCTCACTCTCTCTCTTATGTCCCCTTTCTCTCCTCTCTCACCCCCCTCTCCTCTCTCTTCCCCTTTCTCACCCTCTCACCCCCCCTCTCCTCTCTCTTCCCCTTTCTCACCCTCTCACCCCCCCTCTCCTCTCTCTTCCCCTTTCTCACCCTCTCACCCCCCCTCTCCTCTCTCTTCCCCTTTCTCCCCCCTCTCTCCTCTCTCTTCCCCTTTCTCACCCTCTCTCCTTCTCTCTCCTCTCACCCTCTCTCTTATGTCCCCTCTCTCTCCTCTCTCTCTCCTGTCCCCTTTCTTTCCTCTCTCCCCTTTCTCTTTCCTCCTCTCTCTCATCTGTCCCCCTCTCTCCTTTTTCCTTTCTCTCCTCTCCTCCTCTAACAGAGACATTCTTCCTGACAGTGAGTGTTTCTGTGGACGTCCCGCTGAGCTCGCTGTGTTCTTCTTTCTCTGTCTCATTATGAGCTCATCACAGAGACAGCTCTGATGTAAGAGAATCACAGTGTCAGCTACTACTGCTACTAATACTACTAATACTGCTACTGCTAAAACTACTACTACTACTGCTACTGATACTACTGCTACTGCTACTGCTAAAACTACTACTACTACTGCTACTGATACTACTGCTACTGCTAAAACTACTACTACTACTGCTACTGCTACTAATACTACTGCTACTGCTAAAACTACTACTACTACTGCTACTGATACTACTGCTACTGCTAAAACTACTACTACTACTGCTACTGATACTACTGCTACTGCTAAAACTACTACTACTACTGCTACTGATACTACTGCTACTGCTACTGCTAAAACTACTACTACTACTGCTACTGATACTACTGCTACTGCTACTGCTACTGATACTACTGGTACTGCTACTGCTAAAACTACTACTACTACTACTGCTACTGCTACTGATACTACTGCTACTGCTACTGCTAAAACTACTACTACTACTGCTACTGATACTACTGCTACTGCTAAAACTACTACTACTACTGCTACTGATACTACTGCTACTGATACTACTGCTACTGCTACTGCTACTGCTACAACTACTACTACTACTGCTACTGATACTACTGCTACTGCTACTGTTAAAACTACTACTACTACTGCTACTGCTACTGATACTACTGCTACTGCTACTGCTACTGATACTACTACTGCTACTGCTACTGCTACTGATACTGCTGCTACTGCTACTGCTACTGATACTACTGCTACTGCTACTGATACTACTGCTACTGCTACTGCTAAAACTACTACTACTACTGCTACTACTGCTACTGCTACTGCTAAAACTACTACTACTACTGCTACTGCTACTGCTACTACCATTACTACTGCTAGTAACAGACTACTATACTAATACTATTAGTTACAACCAAGTATACAAAGTTACCGTTCTTTTGTTTTGGTCAGGTTTTGGTTTATTCAACAACAAAAACAGTAAGTGGACTCATTGTTCTGAAAAATCTACCAGATGATAATATCAATAATCTTTACTGTCGTCCAAATGTTAGTGCCACTCGGACTCTGAGGAGCACAGGGACTGGCCTCCTGCTGGGACTCTGAGGAGCACAGAGACTGGCCTCCTGCTGGGACTCTGAGGAGCACAGGGACTGGCCTCCTGCTGGGACTCTGAGGAGCACAGAGACTGGCCTCCTGCTGGGACTCTGAGGAGCACAGGGACTGGCCTCCTGCTGGGACTCTGAGGAGCACAGAGACTGGCCTCCTGCTGGGACTCTGAGGAGCACAGGGACTGGCCTCCTGCTGGGACTCTGAGGAGCACAGAGACTGGCCTCCTGCTGGGACTCTGAGGAGCACAGAGACTGGCCTCCTGCTGGGGCTCTGAGGAGCACAGGGACTGGCCTCCTGCCGGTCCCAGAGTCAGGACTAAACATGGGGAGGCAGCATTTCAGATTTATTCCGCTAAAATCTGTCACAATCTTCCTGAAAATAAGAGACAGGTTTTTTCACTGACAATATCCAAAAATCTATCTGTGATTGCTCCCCTCCCCCAACTTAAACCTAAGTTTTTCCTCCAACCAAAATGAGTTTGACCCCGCTGCACATACAGTAGTCGAGACAGTTACAATTAACACATAGCAGTGAGAGCATGATGCATTGTGGGATGCGGAGTCCAAAAAGATGAGGATTCTGTCTATATCCAATCTCCCTGGAGCCTGACCGAACACTGATATGACTGTGATTATGTTTGTAACGTTACAGCGGCGAGTGCCTTTCACATTTCTCCCAATAGGATGAAAATTGCGCGTCTCCCGTGAAATGCGGCCGTAATGGCGGCGTTACAGCGGCGTTCCGTGGAATCGCCGCGGCTTTCATCTTTTATAATGAGCTCCCATCACCTCTCTGTGTGTGTCCTACTTTAAGCCTCCCTCCGCGGAGCACTCGCTGTTACGTAAGGCGCTTTTCTCGACCCCCACGCCCCATCATCCTGCCGTTATTGGACACGCACATTTCAAAGCACAAAACATATTATGCAAAACACACTTCTTTGAGCTTTTAGCCATGTCACAACAGGATTCTCTCCTTAAAATAGACCTGGGAGTTGCTGTTTTCAAGCACCAGTACCTATAGGTCTTATGCTACCACACCAGTACCTATAGGCCTTATGTTGCCACCAGTACCTATAGGCCTTATACCACCACCAGTACCTATAGGTCTTATGCTACCACCAGTACCTATAGGCCTTATGCCACCACCAGTACCTATAGGCCTTACACCACCACCTGTACCTATAGGCCTTATGTCACCACCTGTACCTATAGGCCTTATGTCACCACCAGTACCTATAGGCCTTATGTTGCCACCAGTACCTATAGGCCTTATACCACCACCAGTACCTAGGCCTTATGCCACTGCCTAATTAACTAGTAAAACAAAAATAAAATGACAGGACTGCTATTTTATTTTATTTTTTTCTCGCTGTAAATACAGTGTTCATGGTTTCACACTGGTCCAGACCAGAGCAGAGAGGATGCACTGTCCGAACCAAGCAGATCAAACGCAAATGATTTATTTTTATTTGAAATGCTAAGAAAGCTTTCAGAATTTCACTCTGAACCAGAGCAGAGAACCAAGCGTCAACCAGAGGAAGCAGCTCACCACCTGCGGTTACACTTTAGTATTATTGTTAGAAACGTTTAAATGTATGGATGTGTTTCTGCTTCTGGACACCTGTATTTCTCCTACAGGGATTCATAAAGTATGTATGTATATTCTTGACACAAAACCTCCAGTTTCAATACAGGTGGGCGGCACGGTGGCTGAGTGGATAGCACTCTCGCCTCTCAGCAAGAAGGTCCTGGGTTCGAATCCCGGTCGGACCAGGGCCTTTCTGAGTGGAGTTTGCATGTTCTCCCCGTGTCTGTGTAGGTTTCCTCCGGGTACTCCGGTTTCCCCTACCACTAAAAATATGTCCAATAGTTCTGGCATGCGCTTCCTGTACTGGCGACCCCGCTCCCATCTCTGTGTGGAGTGAGAGACAAATGCCCATAATTAACAATTGTAAACCGCTTTGAGACTATATAAATAAAAAACTTACATACTTACTTACTTACATTCCAGGGCTGCCTTGCATGAACTACACATTTGAGATCTGCTCAGAGCGAATCAATGATGTTATAATGTGACGAAAAGACTTATTGTATGTGTCTGTACGTCTGCCTGTGGATTGTATGTCAATAATTTCACAATAAAAGAAAAAAAATATGTCAGAAAAATCCCATACTTTTCTGTGTGTGTAAACTTCCGAGAACAACATTATCCCCCGGTGTCAGAAACATCTCGTCGACTCGATGGAACGCAGTGGGATTATGTCAGATTAGCGCCGGCTGATAGAGAGCATTGTTAATCCAGGCCGGATATGAGAGGTGCGGATTAAAACATGACCCTGCATATTTGAGGAAAAAAACAAACATTATCTGATTCATTTTGAACCCTGAGCTTTGGAATCCTTCGTACATCAGGGGTGGGACATTCTTTGTGATGTCGCACGGTGAAAGCTACATCCTTAAAATATTTAAAGAGACGGAAACATGAAGCTCAGGTGTCCAGTGTTTTCTTTGAGTTTGTGGAAAGTTTCTTTGTAGGTTTAACTTTTGCGTCTGGGGGTTTTGTTTTAACCTTTTACAATGTCAGAGGTACACAAAATGTATGTAGTAATACAAACAGTTAGTACTGTTACTAGCTAAATCCCAGCAGGTGGATTACATCAGTAATCACTGGAGTCAAAGTCAAAGGTAGGTTCTGGCAACAAAAGAGTTATTGAAATGTCTTCATTAGAGCTCTCAGAGTGTATTTTACATTATGTACTTTTCACTGTTTAACACTAGGACTCCCAGAATTCTGAATCTACTAGAATTACCAGAGCCGTCATTTTGACTGCATTTAAATCAATGGAATTCTTAAATACTCACCCAAAGGATGTTTAGTTTTTCACCGGCTTCATTAATAGATCGTAATCTATAAGGTTTTAATTTAATTTAATTTAAGGTTTTAGCAATTTTAAGTGCTAAAACTGGACATTAAAACTGAAATACTTCTGACCGACAATTGTGTGGAAAATTAGTTAAAGGTGGAACTCCTCACATTTCAAAAGTAAAAGATATATAACGTAAAGAGACAGTTATGAAAAGTTATGTACATGAGATGAGAAATGTCTGACAGGTCTGACATCATCTGCATCTGTATTGATCACATTTGTCACCGGTAGAAGAGACGATTGTAACACATTCTTCTCGGCTCTTCCTTTTAATTCAACTCTGCTCCTGAAGCTCATTCAAAATTCAGCAGCTCGTCTCCCTAGCTTAACCGCACATGCTAATACAACATTGTTCCATTGATAACATTGCACATTAGCATGCTAACCCTCATGTGCTAACCCCAATTAATCCCCAGCTCCGGTTGCATCTTTTTACCGTGCGCTAGCTTGCCTCATGTTTAATAATGAGCCAGCTAGGAAGGCTAACGCTAACGCCGCTAACTCCAGTGCAGCCTGACAGCCTGGCGGACCTTACTTAATTAGCGCGTTAATTGGTGAAGCGCGGGAGTTAATTTGGTTGCATATTGATTGCGTTGCCACTTTGCTTAACCCCGGCGTGCGAACGTATTCCACGCTGGGGACGCTGGGTAATCTGATGTTGAACAAGAATACAGAGGCCTTGCTGACGAAGCGCTTTGCACAACAGCGAAGAGCAGCGGAACGAGAAAAGCCGATCTCGTTTATAAAGTCGGGAGCTGATTGGAATTGTAATATGCGGAGGACGGAGTGCATTCGTCGTGACAACTGTAGGAATGAAAATGCAAAGATGTGTTTATGTATTTACGCCGTGAGGTACGTGGAGCTCAAGAGGGAACATCAAACAGCTAGCGTTACCATGGTAATCGATGGAAATCCGCCATGTTTGCAGGTGGAGCAGATTCAGAAGCAAAAACAATGTTCAAAGTGAGGAAACAATTGTGGCACAGATACAGAAGGGGTTGACAATCTTTTCAACCTACAGTCGATGGTCTCAACAGTAAAAAGTTGATAAGTAAGTGTGAAGTTTTCAATTCAGACTGCACCAGAATGTGGCTGTTTTTCACTTTTTACTTTTTAAAACAGGAACGTAGATAGTTAGCTACCCCAGCTTTAAATCAAAGTTCAGGACAGCCGTTAGCAGATGGACTGTCCCTTCACGTCTTCCCCACAGCCACACAAACCTCAGCGGGCCTTACCGTTCTCTGGGTGCTCCATCTCCCCGATACTGCCGTCGGGCGTGGTCCTCTCGTAGTGGTCCTCCGGCAGAGCGAGGGGCCCGAGGCGGGGGCCGGAGGAGGACTTGGAGCTGGGCGTCTCAGATTCGTCCAGGCCGCTGTCGTAGTAGCTGTGCTGGGAGGAGTCCTGGGTGTCCTGGGCCTGGTTCGCCGTGGAGAAGGTGACGCGGCGGTGTGGAAGCTGTTGGAGAAAGGACAGATGTAAGCTGTGTTATGGACAGGACTGTGGATTATCACAACCTGAATTAACAATAATGAACCCTAATAATATGGTAAAAACAGCGAAGGGACATGAAGGAGAAGCTGATTCAAACTTCATAAGAGAGAACAAGAACAAAGAAAGTATTTGGTTCCGGCTTTCATACTTCATGACAACTGCTTAACACACTAAAACCATTGTTTTCAATTGTTAAATTAATCACAAAAATTAAGATTAAGAGGTCCTTAATTCGTCCCACAGAAGGAAATTCCAGTTTTGTCTCACAAGTTACAGAACAGCAGATGATGATGATGTGAACAAGGAAGTGAACAATAACGATACTAATTAAAATAAAACAACGTCTGTAATCCTAGCATCAAAGAAACAAGCATAAAATCTCTATCTTGAACATAATAATAATAAAGAAGTATACAACATTTTTACATTTGGCAAGTATGAATTACTGTCTATACTAATGCAAGCAATATGTGGTTATATGTTACCTATCTGCACCAATCTAATCAATTCAACCCAATATATTATGTCGTGTGACAAAATGAAAAGGACAAAAAGGGAAGAAGCAAAAGGATGAATGATGTTCTTGGGGTCAGAGTGGCACATGTTTTTCTTGGATACGCAAAATAGAGACATGTTGCTTATTTGTGTAGTGTAACAAGTTGTTTTGAAGGAGGAGAAGATATGCATTTGGTCGCAGATATAGTTACAACACCACTCTCAAGAAAAACATTTCAAGAAAAGGTAGACGCTGCGAAGTGATACCGGCCGACCCCGACTAAAGCAAACTTGACTCAGCAGCGAAGAAGATTTCACCGCTACAAACGACTCTCGCTGAAAAGTTTGTTTCTTTGTTTCTTTGACGCTGTTTTGGGAGCGACAGATTGATTGATTGATTTGATTTGACAATTTTCACTGCACTGTTTTGTGAATAAACTTGGTACAGCTCATACTGTTTGTGAGTGAATAGAACTCGACTATATGTGAAGGTGATGCCCGCTTTTGTCTGTTTCTTTTAAGGCCCGGGGGCTAGATCCGGCCCGCAAATGAATGATCTTGGTCCCCGATCTTAAGAATCGGCCGCACAGAGCCATAAGAAAATATTGGGTTACTTATTTTTTGTTCAGAACGTTACAATTTTACACTTGAAATTACTGACAGAGCCATACACATACAGTATATTAGATTTATTATTGAATCAATAAATACAATACTTTATTTTGCTGAGATAATATTGGTTCAATGGGTTATATGCAATCATTTTAATATTTTTTTAATCAACCTTGAATCAGTCCGGCCCTCGGCTTGTAGCCAATTTGTTTTTTTGGCCTCTGATGTATCTGACTTTGACATCCCTGGTCTAAATGTAACATAGAGCCATGGAATCAGAATTATGTTTTAACAGGCATCAGTCCAAGTCCTGAAATGAGTAAGCAATCTTTATTTATACAGCGCCTTTCACAGACCAGAGTCACCAAGCACTTTCCAATATCTGTGGGCATTGTTATGGGTAAAACAAGACATGCTTGTTGTATTGGCAAATCTGCAGAAAACTTCTTGGTTATTATTTATTCAGTAATGTTTTACCATTTCTGCAGTTAATCTATTATTATCACCGAACGCCTCGTGCTCTACAATCTGTTTAGTGAAGCGTGTGGGTGTTTAGTCTGAGTTTTTCCAAATAGAACTCTCTTGAAGTTGTTCTCTACACGCTCACTACACAAACCCAACTTTTCAAACATTGTTGTTTTTCCGAAATAAACGAGATATTTTGCCAACTCGGTGCTGGCCGTGGTTTTGTGTGAGAGGATTGCTCTGGGCTGACATGTGGCCTGTAAGTTTCTGTCCATAAGAATAACCCTGCCTTTCCATAGACTTTCTAGCCTGGCCTTATCCATCTGTACACTCCGCTCAATCATCATTTCACTGCATGTAACGTCTGGGTCTGGTCCCTGTGTTAGCGAATACAATCTGTTGAATTTCGACCGACCATTCAGAGAGCGCGGAAGGCGGGTGTTGTAGTTAGTTGTGGGTGACGTCAAGAGTTTGCGTCGAACGGGAAGGTCGTAGTTTGGCAATGGTGAAGAATGCGATAGTAAAGTTATCCGGTCTGGTTCTATCAAGAAATTGAAGCCGGAGAAAGAGGAAAGTTTAGCCAATGTAATCGCTGGAAATTTTGTGGCGCTACTCCCCACGGGCTCCATCAGCGTCAAGGGAGATGGCTAGGCTAAATGCTAACGACTCACTCGGGCGCATTACATACGTAACGGTAAACTCAGATCCAATCATTTCAATCTGCAAAAGGACTTAACCCCTCCCACCTGTAAACGGAGTCAATGGAGCAAATCCAGACCTTAGTATGAAATGTCATTTGTACTATGGTGCGGTACGACCAGGCTATAGACTTTCCCCTTTGCTCCAAACTCCTGGATTTCAAAAGTCTACATTTTTGCATATGAAAGGGCCTTATTAAAACCCATCTTCAGGTGCAAGTGAGGAGTTCAAAGCGCGTTGGAAAGCGCAGAATCCTCCACATATCTTTCTTCCCGCCTGTGTGTAGTTTGAGGATGGACTGACACGGTTCATTCCGGGTTTGATCAAAGATATATGCTCCGTTTCATCCGCCCACTGCGAATTCGTATCGCGCCATTTTTATAGACTTTTTGAACTTATTAAGATTGGCTGGATTTTTTGGAGACGTTCGGTGTGATGTCTCTGTCTTTGGAAAGTTGGGAATAGCGAGAGGAGGAGATAGGGGGAGATTAAGCAGGCAATTAAAATTTAAACAGATATGGGGCCGCGTTCAGAAATTAATGAATTTAAGAAAAGAGAGGAAGGGATGAGATAATTGTAACGCAACTACTTGAACTGAGAAATCGTGTGAAAATCAGGAGCGAACTGGTTCCTGAGCAGATCTGAGATAGGACTGAAGTTTGCCAGAGCCCACATGTCTGACAGCGGACCAACACGCGGTCCAGGGGCCAAATGGGGCCCGCGAGTATGTCCCAGTGTCCCCTAGTGTTATTTTCAAACGTTATATTAACTTGCAGCACTAATCATCAGGGGTTAATATGGACCATGACATGTTAGACATTAGGAGTGTGACGATATATCGATATTGTGATGTATCGTGATACTTTTTCACGCGATCGATATGCAAATTTTTTTTTTTTTTTTTATATATATACTTTTTGAATTAGTATCAATACTTAATATAAGGCTACGTTATGCATCTCCATTCAATGTATCACGAAATAAAGTGCACTTTTTCACTTAGCATTTTTCTTTTATTTATGTCAATATATTTGTATTTGAATCCAGATTTGAGAATTAGTTAATAACTTACACTTATAACTATTTCGTGTTTATTCAGATTGCTTTACTAAAAGATTTCTATAACAGTAGATTTCTGACCAATACATCGATAATTGTCATATCGGGATATAATCGTTATCGTGAGCTTTGTATCGCGTATCGTATCGTATCGTATTGTATTGTGAGGTACCCTGAGGTTCCCACCCCTATTAGACATCATTAAAGCTCAAGAAAATCATACATCGGTCTGCAAGTTTCAGCCTTCACTACTTTGTCCCAGTTTTGGTTCAATCCAAACAGAACTGAATTTAAAAAAATGTTTTTTTACGTTAAATAAAAGTAATTTATCGGAAAAAATCCCATAACTAAACTCAGCTAAATCTAGACACCACAGATACTAACCTCAAGCACTGAAGACTGTTGTACCAAAGTGTAGTGTCCCCAGACCAGAATTAAAATAATATATCTTTCTTACAGCGTTAAACCAGATTTCAACCCAAACCAGGTCTAAAGCAAGTCTAAACAAGGTCTATAACAAGTCTAAACCTAAACTAGATTTAAATAAGGTCTAAAGCAGGTCCAAAGTTGTTCTAAAACAAGCTTAAAGTAGGTCCAAAGTTGGTCTAGTACAAGCTTAAAGTAGGTCCAAAGTTGTTCTAAAACAAGCTTAAAGCAGGTCCAAAGTTGTTCTAAAACAAGCTTAAAGCAGGTCCAAAGTTGTTCTAAAACAAGCTTAAAGCAGGTCCAAAGTTGTTCTAAAACAAGCTTAAAGCAGGTCCAAAGTTGTTCTACAACAAGCTTAAAGCAGGTCCAAAGTTGTTCTAAAACAAGCTTAAAGCAGGTCCAAAGTTGTTCTAAAACAAGCTTAAAGCAGGTCCAAAGTTGTTCTAAAACAAGCTTAAAGTAGGTCCAAAGTTGTTCTAAAACAAGCTTAAAGCAGGTCCAAAGTTGTTCTAAAACAAGCTTAAAGCAGGTCCAAAGTTGTTCTAAAACAAGCTTAAAGCAGGTCCAAAGTTGTTCTAAAACAAGCTTAAAGCAGGTCCAAAGTTGTTCTAAAACAAGCTTAAAGCAGGTCCAAAGTTGTTCTAAAACAAGCTTAAAGCAGGTCCAAAGTTGGTCTAAAACAAGCTTAAAGCAGGTCTAAGGTCGGTCTAAACCAGGTCTAATACAGACAAAGCAAACAGGACTGAAATGACTAAATGTCGCTGTTATCTCGTCAAAAACAAACCTTTACTCTTGCTAATATCATGAACTTTGGGTACAAACATGTCCCCCCATCCCTTCTGTCTAACTACTCCTGTCTCAAACCAGTTACGCTATGACAGGGACAGAGCTGTTTTCTGGCCTTTAAAAACAAAACGATGGCCTCATAAATAGATTAGAATTAATTTTTACAACTTCTATTCCCTAGCACATCGTTCTAGGTTTACTAAAGTGACAGAATATGTTTCCCACTTCTGCCATGAGATTCACTTTGCAGCTGTGACTTTAAATCCTTATATTTTTGTACTAACAGCATTCCCAAGATCACGTTTAAGAGCCAAGTCCATGTCAATAAGTGGATTAACAAATGTAATATGCCATAATAGCTTTCCCTGATCTCGCTTGGACCCGTTCGCTTCTTTATACAGTCTCTATGGACATTTAAAGGA